CATGGCCCAGTGCAAATCTCGACACTTCACCAAAGCCACCTTAGCTGCAACCGAGAGAATTAGAGAAAGTCAGTGCACCAAAGTGGAGGCTTACTTGTTGCTGCTTTAAGTAAAAGCCACAGGGATATTCTCAGAGATCTGAAGGACAAAACTCTAGGCAGACTTAGGAGGTAAATCACTTTGGTAAACAAATGCTAAGACTACAGGGTGAGAAGATACCAGCTCTCCAAGATCTCCAATGAGAAAGTAGCAGAACCATGTAGCCTAAGGCTATGTTCCTAGTAACAATCAAGAGTCACACATCCCTTTAGCAGCTTCTCTGCGCCCCATTCAGCTCCATGGGCATGGGAACAGGACTGGAGACCAGATAGGGGCCAGATATGTTTTTCTATAGGTGTTTTGCATATCAATACTTCCTGCACCTAATAAATGGGGAGAGTGTCAGTTTGCATATCTTGGTACAGAAAGTATTGAGCGGATGTGTAGAAATCTTTCCTATTCTATTTAATTCAAGAGTAGCTTTTCTGTGTGAAAGAAAGGTTCGTGATGTTGGGTTATTCCTTCAAAGAAGCTGACTACAGCTGGCCTAAACTGGTTCTGTTATCTTTTTCTGTCAAGATCATGCTTGACAGAATAATAGGGCAAAAGGAGTCTGGGTTTCCCTTTCTCTCTCTTTTCCTTCTGGTGTGATGTTCTGCACATAGTATGCTTAATGTTAAGGTTTAGTCTTATTGTAAGTTTAAATTAAGACTGTTGTATAATTTCATAACCATTTTTCATAAGCCTTACTTTCCGGACTTCCCCATACCTCCCCTTTTCTGCATCCTTGTTTTATATTTCTTCAGCAACTCCTCAATCAACTAATTATTCAATTCAATTTCTTTTAAGTTCTTCTAATAATATTAATTACAGCTGCAGTTCTCTATTTCCCAACCCCTTGACATTTTAACATTCCTGAATTTTGCAACAAGTTCTAAGATAAACTTTAAATTTCTTCCAATCTTCTTCCACTGTCTCTTTCCCCTGGTCACGGATTCTGCCAGTCAATTCCGCCAGTCCCATATAGTCGATCACCTTCGTCTGCCATTCTTCCAGTGTGGGTAGTTGTTGTGTCTTCCAATACTTTGCTAGAAGAATCCTTGCTGCTGTAGTCGCATACATGAAAAACGTCTTGTCCTTCCTTCTCACCAATTGGCCGACAATGCCCAGGAGAAAAGCCTCGGGTTTTTTAGGGAAGGTCCATTTAAGAACCTTCTTAATTTCATTATAGATCATTTCCCAAAAAGCTTTTATCCTCGGGCAGGTCCACCAAAGGTGATAAAAAGTACCTTCAGTCTCATTACATTTCCAACATTTGTTATTGGGCAGATGATAAATTTTTGCGAGCTTGACTGGGGTCATGTACCACCTATACATCATTTTCATAATGTTTTCTCTTAAGGCATTACATGCCGTAAATTTAATACCGGTGGTCCACAACTGTTCCCAGTCAGCAAACATAATGTTATGACCAATATCTTGTGCCCATTTTATCATAGCTGATTTCACCGTTTCATCCTGTGTGTTCCATTTCAACAGCAGATTATACATTCTCGACAGATTCTTAGTATTGGGTTCTAACAGTTCTGTTTCTAATTTTGACCTCTCCATCTGGAAACCTATTTTCCTGTCCTGTTTAAATGTCTCGTTTATCTGAAGGTAGTGCAACCAATCTCGCACTTTGGACTTTAATTTCTCATAGCTCTGTAATTTAACTTTTCCCCATCTTGTTCTAGAATTTCACAATATTTTGGCCATTTAGACTCCATATTAAGTTTTTTCACCTCTTTAGCTTCCATTGGTGACAACCACCTGGGAGTTTTACTTTCCAATAGATCTTTATACCGCATCCAAACATTGTATAATGCTTTCCTAACAATATGGTTTTTGAAACCTTTATGCAGTTTAACCTTATCATACCATATATATGCATGCCAACCAAATCTATTATCAAACCCTTCTAGATCCAAAATATCTGTATTCTCAAGAAGTAGCCACTGTTTCAACCAGCAGAAAGCCGCCGATTCATAGTAGAGTCTTAAGTCCGGCAGGGCAAACCCCCCTCTATCTTTAGCATCAGTTAGAATCTTAAATTTTATTCTGGGCTTTTGCCCTGCCGGACAAATTTAGATATATCTTTCTGCCACTTCTTGAAACAGTCCATCTTGTCCAAAATCTGCAATGTCTGGAATAAAAACAACATTCTAGGCAATACATTCATCTTGATAACAGCAATTCGGCCTAACAAAGAAAGTTTCAACCTTGACCATATTTCTAGATCCTTCTTTACCTCTGTCCAACATTTATCATAATTGTCCTTAAATAAATTCACATTCTTAGATGTTAAGTTTACCCCCAGGTACTTTACTTTTTTCGTTATCACTAGACCTGTTTCATTCTGAAATTTCTCTTTTTCGGCCAACGTTAAATTTTTGTCCAACACTTTCGTTTTCTGTTTGTTCAGTTTAAATCCTGCTACTTGACCAAATATCTCAATTAGTTCTAATACTCTTTTAGTACTAGTATCTGGCTGTTGCAAGGTCAATACTAGGTCATCTGCAAATGCCCTTAGCTTATAATGTTTGGCTCCGACTTGTACTCCTTTAACCAACTGGTCTCCTCTAATCATATTTAGCAAAACCTCCAGGACTAATATAAAAAGTAAAGGGGATATTGGGCACCCCTGTCGTGTACCTTTTTCTATAGGTATTTCTTCCGTAACCACATTGTTTACAATTAACTTTGCTTTTGTTTAGAGTATATTGCACCTATACCATTTTCAAACCCTTGACCTACCCCCATCCCTTGGAGATTCTTCTTCATAAAGCTCCAACCAATATTGTCAAAGGCTTTCTCCGCATCCACAAAAATTAAAACAGCCTTCCTATTAATGTCCACTTCTAACAGTTCCAAAATGTCTATAATGTTCCTCACATTGTCCGACATATATCTCCCTGGAAGAAAGCCAGTTTGGTCTTTATGAATCTCCCCTACCAACACTCTCTTCAGTCTTTTTGCCATAATGTCCGCAAAAATTTTGTAATCCACGTTAAGTAATGATATAGGGCGGTAGTTTTTAACCTGGTTCTTTTCAGTCTCAGTTTTCGGTATAAGTGAGATAAAAGCTTCTTTCCACGACTCTGGTGCCTTTTTCCCTCCAAAATTTCGTTACATACTTCCTTCAGTGGTTGTACTAACCATTCCTTCACTGCAACTGGATTTCTTACGGACAGTGCCAATCCTGAATGTATTGGATTTGTGACCATTATGCTCATTTGCATTCAGTAGCAGTAAAACTCTGCTGGATGAAATACAATTGCCTCTTGTCTATATTTGGGGAATCCTGAAATGTGTTTTAAGTTTTTACTCTGCTAACTATACATTGTTCTGCTCTGGATCATATCGAGTAGAATTTCATGACAAGTCAGCTGTGCAACGGCCTTTCAATGCCCACCTTTGTGAGTGTGAACCCTCTGTACCCAGGAAAGAGGGCAGGTTTTCATCACTGAGTAGGGCACACTGACGGTGTGCAGCTTGTTCATTACACTCTGAAAGACAGAAAGAGAGCCGATTTTACACATGCACACACAGAGAATAACCCAGGTGCAAATCAAATAAAAACAAACCACCGGCAAAAATGTGTGGTTTCCATGGACATAACCACAATGAATCCAATCCAATAAATCTAAGTGAAAACGCTAATTCATAGGATTTTGAGATAATGCTGATATGTTACACTTCACATCCCAGTGGGGTTGCAGTCATACCATTCTTCAGCGGTCCTTCCACCTTTAAGACTAAGCCGAGTCGGGTGCGTAATGAAATTTTTCATAGGGGAACAGTTAGGGCTAGAGGTGCCAGCTTGCAAGGGCGATGTTGTGGGCATGAGCATCGCGCTTCCCTCCCTAAGCCAGGCAGAAGCTTCCCAGGCTTTGGGAAGGAGGTTCCAGGGGGAGCATTTAGGGGACCAGACTAGCCCCCCCCAGTCCAATAACCGCATGCCTCTGTAGCCTATGAAAAGAAGTCACAGTAAAGTTTCTGCAGATCATCTCCTTAAAATACTGACTCACCGTTAGCATGCTATGCCACAAGCCTGCATCTTTCTTGAAATCCAGGACGTTCACTATGGTTTCACCTGCAACAGAAATGCTAACACTTAACTTGTCTGAAATTTTGCTTCCCGAGGTGCAACTTTCTATTCTGCTAAACAAACACAAAGTCTACTCCAGGGTTCCATGAATAATCATATTGTATTGACCACTTCTCAGACTTGCCATGAAAAACCAAAATCTCTCCCGTTAGATGTTTGCAACAAACTTCTTAACAGGAAAACAAATCTCCTTCGTTGATAACGCCAAGCATTTCTCTAACAAGTAATGTACCAACAAAACTTTCTATACACACACTTAAACAGATTTGTATTGATAAAGGGGGCGGGGGATGGAACACTATTTTAATTGTTTTATTCTATTTTATTTTATTGCAGTGGTGATTGCTATTGGCTGCTTCAAGAGTCCAACAGGGCAGATTAAGATGCCTGTAAATAAACTGGTATGAATGCTCTGTTTTGGTTTATCTGAAGGCCCATCTATCCCAGGATCCTGTTCTCACAGTGGCAAACCAGAAGACTGCAGAAAGCCTGAAAGTAAGACCTGAGCACAAAAACACTGTCCCCGCTTGTGATTACCAAGGTCTGAAGGTAAGGTCTGAAGAAAGGTCACTGGCGATGTGTACTGAGAATTTAGGGAAGCTAAGAAAATGCCTGGTGAAAGGAATGTTTCTGATTTTATAAAAATAATAATAAATCCCAACATGCTTCTCCTTTGCATGTAAAAGCTACTAGGGATCAGTTTACAAAGTCAAGCTGCTCCTTGCAATAATTTCATAGAATCAAAGAATTGTAGATTTCGAAGGGACCATGTGGGTTATCTAGTTCAACCCCCTGCAACGCAGGAATCTTTTGCCCAATGTGAGACGCAAACCCACGACCCTGAGATTAAGGGTCTCATGCTCTACCAGCTGATATATGTGGGTATATTGTTGTAAAGTGGCCTAGAATATTCAATGCAGAGTGGCACATAAATGCTTTAATACAATGATTAAAATTTAAGAAACTATATGATTTTGTACAGAGAAACACATCAGTGAACCAAACTGTATACAGTGGTACCTCTGGTTGCGAACAGGATCTGTTCCGGAGCCCCGTTCGCAACAAGAGCAGAACACAACCCGCGTCTGCGCGTGCCACGATTCGCCGCTTCTGCGTATGCGTGTGACGTTATTTTGAGCGTCTGCGCATGCGTGAGTGGCGAAACCCAGAAGTAACCCTTTCCGGTACTTCTGGGTCGCCGCAGGACGCAACCTGATAAGACGTAACTTGAACCTAACGTAACAAGAGGTATGACTGTATACAGGAGACAGCAGCTATCTCACTATGAAATAACACCATTAGCTTACGAGACATACATACAAGTCTCTCTCAGTGTGGCTGGGCAATGAAACCTATATCACACTGAAGCGTTTGGCAGTGTGAACTGGTGCACCGTTTGTAAACAACCACTTTGATTTAATGGGTGTAGCGCATAACTCCTAAAGACTAGCACTGGGCTGGTTCACAGTTCTCTGGAGAGAGCTGTCCACTAGGACATGACTCCCTGTGCTCATAATGCAGCCAGGCTGGACAGCACTCACCTTCAGAGTAGTTGCAGGCCTGAGACAAAGCCTGGCAGTGAGCCAGCATAGCAATTCGTGACACGGTCACACCCATCACACTCCCCTCCTTGCTGGTCTTGTACTGAGAAAAGCGCACAAATATCAACAATTCAGGGATCAAAGCGCTGTTATATTTGCCTTAACCATTCATAAAGCTGAAGGCAGAGAGCCCTTTACTCTTTTCCATGTATATGCATGTGTGTTTGCATGCAAGGCAGAATATGGGTACGCATAAGCGAGCAAAATTGAGTAGAATGAGAAAAAAAATACAAGCTTGAATTTGTTGCCAGGGTTTCCCAAACTTGGGTCTCCAGCTGTTTTTGGACTACAATTCCCATCATCCCTAGTTAGCAGGACCAGTGGTCAGGGATGATGGGAACTGTAATCTAGAAAACAGCTAGAGACCCAAGTTTGAAAAGCCCTGCTCTAACTACGCTATTCCTGTTCTCTCTCTCTCTCTCTCTCAAAATTAAGTGTGAACAGACTCACCAACAAAGGCAACAGACCATTTGAAATGAGGTTTAGAACTCCCAAAGTATTCCCATAAACCAGGGATAGGGAACCTGTGGCCCTAAAGAAGTAGCTGGGACTCCAACTCCCATTAACCCCAGCTAGCATGGCCAATACTCAGGGATGATGGGAAATGTAGTCCAACATCGGGAAGACTACAGATCACCCATCCCACCACAAACTCTTATAGCAGAAGCTTCTGCTACTCGTAACGTTAAAAAAATCTGCTTGAGAAGAACAAAGGGCACTGGAAGAAGAACTTCCGCGTAAATTGTGTCCTCAATTTATAATTGTGCCAGTTCACAAAGATGCTTAAACTACAACTTCTGGAGAGAAAGGGCACATTAGGAGGACATGAGGTTTTGGCAGCAAGGCACACAGACACTTGAAACACCCTAAATATATTACAAGTTCAATAGCCAAGGCAGCATATGCTGTTTTGTTAATTTTTGCTCGCTACATACCTCAATGTAAGCTGGCTCAGTCCCCGCGTTTGAAATGTTGGGCTGCCAGTCCTTTGGTGACTTAGAGAGGTACTTGGAATCTGTTACAACCCACTTGAGCCTAGGCCAACCTAAAACCGAAAGGTAAAAAAGTGACTTCTAGGTTGCAATTTTTTTTTGATGCATTCACATTGCAAATGATGCAATCTGGCTCCCCAAAAGAAACCTGCTGCAATGCTGAAAGCCTCACAAAGCCCTTGAACAAGTTTTCTTGCCCACCTCCCCGCCACCCCAGAAACACAAGGTTTCTAATGCTTATGAAAAGTTTGTCTGGGTTTAGGCTGGTGGGGATCATAAAGAGACATGTAAAGAGGCAGAAAGTTAAAGAATATTATTCTGACAGAGAGAAGATTTCCATGCACGAAAATTAAGATCATGAATGAATTATTTGGTCCACAATTACATGTACTGAAGCTGTTCTGCGCTGATAGCTTCCCCAAATGCATCATCATAGCAAACCAAGCAAAATGTGTGATTTTCAGACGTAACAACACAGAGGCCATGATTAGTGTGTGCAGCAATGCTTAAGTATATAACACTCAAGCCATTTACAGCTTTGTCATTCAATAGCAGAATTGGATTGCCCTGTAAACCAGCAATGACCATGAAGTAATGTTGCAGTGTACTCCCAGCAACCCATTCCCATTGTAAAAAGCATCAGGGGCTGTGGCTCAGTAGCAGAGCACATGCCTTTCACGAAAGCAGCTCCCATTCTAGTTACTAGTAACCCCAAATATCTCAGGCAGCAGAGATAGGGGTGGAGTTGCTTGGTTCTTCTAAAAACTGGCTGCAAGCCCTGCTTATGCCAACCTGGGTTGATGGGTAATTGAGGGCTTGCTTTATCACTTATATAGTCAGTAACTACAACAAGGGAACCTTAATTTATGAACAAGTTAAAAGGTAAAGGGACCCCTGACAATTAGGTCCAGTCGTGACCAACTCTGGGGTTGCGGTGCTCATCTTGCTTTATTGGCCAAGGGAGCCGGCGTACAGCTTCCGGGTCATGTGGCCAGCATGACTAAGCCGCTTCTGGCGAACCAGAGCAGCGCACGGAAACGCCGTTTACCTTCCTGCCAGAGCGGTACCTATTTATCTACTTGCACTGTGACGTGCTTTCAAACTGCTAGGTTGGCAGGAGCAGGGACCGAGCAACGGCAGCTCACCCCGTCGTGGGGATTCGAACCGCCGGCCTTCTGATCAGCAAGTCCTAGGCTCTGTGGTTTAACCCACAGCGCCACCCGCGTCCCATGCAAGTTACAAGTTAGTCTGCTGCAAAATAGGAATGTCATGTTCGACATTTATGACTTGTCACAAGTGCACGTGCACCCCTGTCATTTCCTGATTGATAAAATGCCACCCACAATGATTGTTCCATATAAAATCAACAACTAACCTTTGAACTGCACAATTTCTCCATTCTGTGTTTTGGGGAGACCCTTTAAGCAAACCTCAGTAGTGAGAGCCAAAGCAATGCCACAGCTGCCTAGAAGAAAGCCAATTTGCTGGCCACCAGCATCCTGTGGGAGGGAAAAGGGAATCACTGTGATTTGCAGATTGGGGCAAAAAAGAGAGAAAAGGCCAGCTTTAGCCTTACCAAACTCCTAAACGTCGGTAATGGTTTGGTAACTGGATGGTAACATTATGGACAACGCTGAGGGAACTACAGACATTCAGAGTCATCCATCAGTGGTTTGAAACTCAAATGACAACCACCACAGTGACAGCAAGGGGAAGCAGGCATTGCACACAATGGAAAAACACAGGGAGTGGTGATGATCTGAAATAAGATGGGTGGCAACAGCGAATGTGGAATGCATGGCATTCATACTGTGCTGAAAAGTCCATGAATGAAAGTAACTTGAAAGTTGGGGAACAGCGTTCCAGGGAAAAGTCAGCCTTCCCCAACCTGGTGCCCTCCAGACTACAATTTTTGGACTACAACTCCTGTTAGCGTTAGTCACCACAGCTGGAGGGCAACAGGTTGTTGAAGGCTGACCCAGGTTATAGCCAGAGTTGTGCTTAACTCTGTGCTAAAGAGAGAAATTTCTGCTCCAAGAAAAGCTGAATTCCGCAACCAGCAGAAATTAAACAAGCATATTTGTATAATTCATGTTAATAATAATATTTTTATTATTTATACCCTGCCCATCTGGCTGGATTTCCTGAGCCACTCTGGGCAGCTTACAGCATATCTAAAAACATCAAGCATTCAAAACCCCACAATAGAGGGCTGCCTTCAGATGTCTTCTAAAAGTTGTGCAATTCTTTATCTCCTTGACATCTGAAGGGAGGGTGTTCCACTACTGAGAAGGCCCTCTGCCTGCTTATATTTTACTTGCAGGGTCCTGAAGTCCAGTTCTTAATCCCTTTACCACTAGCTTCTGAAATGTAGCCAAATACTGCCCACACAATCTCAAACAGGTCTTTTCTCCTCCAGCCACAGGGGGAAGGGGAAGCATTAGACTAGCAAGACTACCACGTGTGAAGTGAAAGGAAGGGACCTCTGTAGATGAGCTCATAGTCACAGTTTGAAATCATCAGTGGGACAGGCTCCTAAATGGTCCAGACAGCAGGAGTTTGTGAAATACCCAGCAGGATAACCTGCAGGACTGGCTACAGAACATTGCCAGGCCTGCACTCCTTCCTATTTGCCCCAAAATTCAACACATTTTTAAAAAAAAAATTACCCCAAGAGGATAGCAGGCTACACAGTGGTACCTTGGGTTAAGAACTTAATTCGTTCTGGGGGTCTGTTCTTAACCTGAAACTGTTCTTAACCTGAAGCACCACTTTAGCTAATGGGGCCTCCTGCTGCTGTGCGATTTCTGTTCTCATCCTGAAGCAAAGTTCTTAACCCGAGGTACTATTTCTGGGTTAGCGGAGTCAGTAACCTGAAGCGTGTGTAACCTGAAGCGCATGTAACCTGAAGCGTATGTAACCCGAGGTACCACTGCATATCAAAATCCATATTGCACTCAAACTTTATTTGTTAAAATAAAGCTATTTGTCTTTATTTGTTAACTTGATTTGTTAAAAAATGGACTGAACACATGGCATTTCCATACAAAAAAAGGCCAAACAGAAATCACATATAATAATAATAATAATAATAATAATAATAATAATAATAATATAAACAGCATATTGGTAAGAAGCTACCCCTCCTTTTCCAATCCCAGCATCCCTTAACTACAGAAGGGAAATTTACTAGGCTGGAACGAGCTGGAATGAGCAGATGATCAGAGAATCCCCTGCAACACAACAGAAGTGAGGGAAGAAAGCACTGAAATGGACAAGCTGGTTTACTGA